GGGGCGCAGTGATTTATGTTTAGTTTATTTCAGGTCTGTGACATATTTTCTACTGTCAATAAATACATCAAATATATATAATTACCGTACGATAAATTGTCATCCTGCTCGCATAATGTCAAGACCATTGAATGTATTATAAACATTACTAGAATGAATTAATTTAACATAGATTAAAATGGTCATGAATAAAAATATATCTGTTGAGATAATACTGCTTTGGTCATTTTCGAGTGTGGACTGGATGATATTGAATAGATGGTTCCAAAAAACTATTTAGTGGTATATTATAAAGATGCTGAATCTAGCATCTTTTTAATAAGAGAACTGATATTCTTGTAAACTAAATTATTGCAGTTTTAAATAGTTTGAACGAGAGGAAAGTTCTTAAGTCTTAAAGTTTTTACCTGACGGTAAAAAGTTATCATCTTACGTAAACAAAAACCAGTAACTAGGTTCAAAACTTGCCCGGTTGTCCTAAAAAATTGAAAATTTGTTACACGATCCTTTCTTAATAAACAGCTGATCTTTGTCATTAACAAAACTATACAGATCATCCAACTGAATTCTACACTCATAATATTGCTTTAAATTTGCTGCTAGGGGTCATTTCTGTCTCAAAAGGTCCCATAGGAATGGTAATATTTACATTACGTTTAACAGTCTAGCCAACTCTAATGATTTTCCCAATTATTTCAATCGTTGTAGCGATGGTCTCCAAACTGGACGAGTCTGTTGGAGCGGTGATCACTGCATTAGACAATCGGGGAATGCTAAAGAACTCGATAGTTGTGCTTCTGGCTGACAACGGTGCCCCGAACCTGGGACTCTACAACAACTGGGGCTCAAACTTTCCCTGGAGGGGGGTAAGTAACAGATGATTTACAACAAACATAGCGTAAGGATAGTAGTTTTTTTGGAAATGGAGAAAGGATGGAATATTTTTACATCTTTATTTTCTTTCTTAATAAATAGCGACCATTAAAATTATGTATTTTATGCCAAGTACGAATGGAGATGAGTGTAGGATGAGTAGCGTGATCTTGTAGTCTTGTTAGTGACTAAGGTTGACATTCCTTAGACACAGCTGTTAATTAATAGCCCATACAGCTAATGACAACTAAGGGACCTACAGTTTATAGTGGAATCCAAACCACATTTTTGCCTTGGTATCAACAAATTGGTCTAATTGTTAGGATAGTACTGCGGATAGTCGTAGTACTCACTAGTGCGGACGTTAATCCACACCAGGGAGTATTGCATCCACAGTGCATGCCTATAAATATCGCATTGATCATCCACAAAGCCTGTGCTATGAACGTATCAAGCAAAAAACCTTACTTGAGCTGATAAAGAACAAAATAAAACTGCTATCATCCATTTCTAGTTTGCTGTACTCATTATTTCGACAGTACTAAGACTGTTAAAAATTTATAGTTGAAGGACCAATCTAAAGTGTATACAGCCTATATTCTATACTTACTGAAAATTACACTTTAAACCGATTAAAACTTCAAAAGTCCAATTTTACATTAAACCAAACCTAAATATCTTTGACATAAAACAAATCCTGTGGTCTAAAATAGTGTGTATAAAATCAGTCAAAGCCCCGTTAACATCTTCTTCGCAAAAAGAATAATATCACAAAATATACCATGTACTTTACAATATACGTCTGCTGGCTGAGTTGAAATAGAGTCTTCTTTCAGCAAAAAGCCAGTCTATGGGAGGGTGGTGTCCGCACCCCTTGTCTCATATGGAGTCCACTGATAACCAACCCCTCTCGAGTGAGCCACACCCTCATGCATGTCACTGATTGGCTGCCTACACTGCTGAGTGCCGCAGGTGAGTAACCATGTGATACTGATAACCAACCCCTCTCGAGTGAGCCACACCCTCATGCATGTCACTGATTGGCTGCCTACACTGCTGAGTGCCGCAGGTGAGTAACCATGTGATACTGATAACCAACCCCTCTCGAGTGAGCCACACCCTCATGCATGTCACTGATTGGCTGCCTACACTGCTGAGTGCCGCAGGTGAGTAACCATGTGATACTGATAACCAACCCCTCTCGAGTGAGCCACACCCTCATGCATGTCACTGATTGGCTGCCTACACTGCTGAGTGTCGCAGGTGAGTAACCATGTGATACTGATAACCAACCCCTCTCGAGTGAGCCACACCCTCATGCATGTCACTGATTGGCTGCCTACACTGCTGAGTGCCGCAGGTGAGTAACCATGTGATACTGATAACCAACCCCTCTCGAGTGAGCCACACCCTCATGCATGTCACTGATTGGCTGCCTACACTGCTGAGTGTCGCAGGTGAGTAACCATGTGATACTGATAACCAACCCCTCTCGAGTGAGCCACACCCTCATGCATGTCACTGATTGGCTGCCTACACTGCTGAGTGCCGCAGGTGAGTAACCATGTGATACTGATAACCAACCCCTCTCGAGTGAGCCACACCCTCATGCATGTCACTGATTGGCTGCCTACACTGCTGAGTGTCGCAGGTGAGTAACCATGTGATACTGATAACCAACCCCTCTCGAGTGAGCCACACCCTCATGCATGTCACTGATTGGCTGCCTACACTGCTGAGTGCCGCAGGTGAGTAACCATGTGATACTGATAACCAACCCCTCTCGAGTGAGCCACACCCTCATGCATGTCACTGATTGGCTGCCTACACTGCTGAGTGCCGCAGGTGAGTAACCATGTGATACTGATAACCAACCCCTCTCGAGTGAGCCACACCCTCATGCATGTCACTGATTGGCTGCCTACACTGCTGAGTGTCGCAGGTGAGTAACCATGTGATACTGATAACCAACCCCTCTCGAGTGAGCCACACCCTCATGCATGTCACTGATTGGCTGCCTACACTGCTGAGTGCCGCAGGTGAGTAACCATGTGATACTGATAACCAACCCCTCTCGAGTGAGCCACACCCTCATGCATGTCACTGATTGGCTGCCTACACTGCTGAGTGCCGCAGGTGAGTAACCATGTGATACTGATAACCAACCCCTCTCGATTGAGCCACACCCTTATGCATGTCACTGATTGGCTGCCTACACTGCTGAGTGTCGCAGGTGAGTAACCATGTGATACTGATAACCAACCCCTCTCGAGTGAGCCACACCCTCATGCATGTCACTGATTGGCTGCCTACACTGCTGAGTGCCGCAGGTGAGTAACCATGTGATACTGATAACCAACCCCTCTCGAGTGAGCCACACCCTCATGCATGTCACTGATTGGCTGCCTACACTGCTGAGTGTCGCAGGTGAGTAACCATGTGATACTGATAACCAACCCCTCTCGAGTGAGCCACACCCTCATGCATGTCACTGATTGGCTGCCTACACTGCTGAGTGCCGCAGGTGAGTAACCATGTGATACTGATAACCAACCCCTCTCGAGTGAGCCACACCCTCATGCATGTCACTGATTGGCTGCCTACACTGCTGAGTGCCGCAGGTGAGTAACCATGTGATACTGATAACCAACCCCTCTCGAGTGAGCCACACCCTCATGCATGTCACTGATTGGCTGCCTACACTGCTGAGTGTCGCAGGTGAGTAACCATGTGATACTGATAACCAACCCCTCTCGAGTGAGCCACACCCTCATGCATGTCACTGATTGGCTGCCTACACTGCTGAGTGCCGCAGGTGAGTAACCATGTGATATTGATAACCAACCCCTCTCGAGTGAGCCACACCCTCATGCATGTCACTGATTGGCTGCCTACACTGCTGAGTGTCGCAGGTGAGTAACCATGTGATACTGATAACCAACCCCTCTCGAGTGAGCCACACCCTCATGCATGTCACTGATTGGCTGCCTACACTGCTGAGTGCCGCAGGTGAGTAACCATGTGATACTGATAACCAACCCCTCTCGAGTGAGCCACACCCTCATGCATGTCACTGATTGGCTGCCTACACTGCTGAGTGCCGCAGGTGAGTAACCATGTGATACTGATAACCAACCCCTCTCGAGTGAGCCACACCCTCATGCATGTCACTGATTGGCTGCCTACACTGCTGAGTGCCGCAGGTGAGTAACCATGTGATACTGATAACCAACCCCTCTCGAGTGAGCCACACCCTCATGCATGTCACTGATTGGCTGCCTACACTGCTGAGTGCCGCAGGTGAGTAACCATGTGATATTGATAACCAACCCCTCTCGAGTGAGCCACACCCTCATGCATGTCACTGATTGGCTGCCTACACTGCTGAGTGCCGCAGGTGAGTAACCATGTGATATTGATAACCAACCCCTCTCGAGTGAGCCACACCCTCATGCATGTCACTGATTGGCTGCCTACACTGCTGAGTGCCGCAGGTGAGTAACCATGTGATATTGATAACCAACCCCTCTCGAGTGAGCCACACCCTCATGCATGTCACTGATTGGCTGCCTACACTGCTGAGTGTCGCAGGTGAGTAACCATGTGATACTGATAACCAACCCCTCTCGAGTGAGCCACACCCTCATGCATGTCACTGATTGGCTGCCTACACTGCTGAGTGTCGCAGGTGAGTAACCATGTGATACTGATAACCAACCCCTCTCGAGTGAGCCACACCCTCATGCATGTCACTGATTGGCTGCCTACACTGCTGAGTGCCGCAGGTGAGTAACCATGTGATACTGATAACCAACCCCTCTCGAGTGAGCCACACCCTCATGCATGTCACTGATTGGCTGCCTACACTGCTGAGTGTCGCAGGTGAGTAACCATGTGATACTGATAACCAACCCCTCTCGAGTGAGCCACACCCTCATGCATGTCACTGATTGGCTGCCTACACTGCTGAGTGTCGCAGGTGAGTAACCATGTGATACTGATAACCAACCCCTCTCGAGTGAGCCACACCCTCATGCATGTCACTGATTGGCTGCCTACACTGCTGAGTGTCGCAGGTGAGTAACCATGTGATACTGATAACCAACCCCTCTCGAGTGAGCCACACCCTCATGCATGTCACTGATTGGCTGCCTACACTGCTGAGTGCCGCAGGTGAGTAACCATGTGATACTGATAACCAACCCCTCTCGAGTGAGCCACACCCTCATGCATGTCACTGATTGGCTGCCTACACTGCTGAGTGTCGCAGGTGAGTAACCATGTGATATTGATTTGTCTTCATAACCGGAGGTTACTGGTTTGATCCCAAATTATGCCAATTCTTGAATTAGATTTTTAGTAAAGTTAATTAATGATGCAGCACGGTAGTGAGACGATCATATTTAGTTACCTAAAAGCAAACTTTAATGCATGCACAAGCGTTGAAACATAAAAAAAATTAATCCTCAGTATCCCCATAGTTTGTTATGAAACAAACGACTTGGCTTTTATCTGAAACACTCCAAGGTCACATAAAAAGAAGAATAAATAAAAAGAGATTACGTAGCAATCTGGTCCGTCAAATGACACACAGTCTGTACACACACTAATGAAGTAGTCAACTAGAATTAGGTGTTTACCATATGAATATTACAAGTAATTTAGAATGTGATTATTTTTCTGGGTAAACTACAATACAAGTATATGCAGTGCTGTCTAACAAAATAAAATTAGAACGAACAATGGTATTTTCTTAAGCTTGATAGAGAGTTATGAGGAAAACATTTTTGAGAAAGTGAGAATTAAAGAGAGAAAATTACATGTGTTTAGTACCATGAATACACAGCAGTAGCTAATCGTTAATAGGCTCAATAATAAGATACCTACATTTGAATATTGATACAGTTGCCGGACTAAGATTAATCATCGCTCTATAAAGGCCACATAACGGAAATGTTCATTGACCTTTAACCTATGTTCTTTACTTGTGTGTAATATAATTACTGGTGTGTAAGCTGCACATGCTATAGTTCGGCCGCTTAGAAAACGACCTGCGCGCTAATGCTAAACCAATGCTGGAGGAGGTCGCTTTCTAAGCGGCCGAACTATAGAGAAGTAATTTAAAACGTAATAACTAAGGTGTCAAGCCTACGTTTATAAACTAAATATCTAATCTTATTACCGATTTATATGCTCAGGTCACAAGGGAAGAGTATCGGGTATAGATGGAGTCGATCAATGGGAAGCGATTTCAAGAGGACGCTCAACTCCACGGCACGAACTAGTGGTGGATATTGATGATCAAAATGAAATGGCTGCCATGATCTTCAGATCTTATAAATACGTAAAAGGTATTTTATTTATACAGTTCTTGATGCATTTATTTAAAGAAAACTAATTTAAATATATGTTAAGTAAACAACATAACAAATCCATGTTACCAAAAATTTAAAAAAAATACGATTAGTTATACTTGTAGTTGATAAAGATACTCAACTGCTACTCATAGCCAAGTATATCTATCTGAATTGTGATTTAAACATTTAATATACAGAAGTAATGTTCTATGAACATCCAGTATCCCTAAGTAAGTCTTTTAATATTACCCAAAGTGTTTTCCCAATTCTAATACATATACATTTTTATTTTTGGGGTTTAACCTTATATTTTAAGTGTATTCCAACACTTGTCATGGTAAGAAGTAGAAGCAAGATTGCATGGCCAAAATATGCTCTTAGTTCTTAGTCTTCAGGAGTACCGGTCGTTTCCTGGAATGGAATGGCCAAGATAATGCTGGACGTTCGGATGTGTTGCAGAAATCCATCAATGCAATTCAACTAATTTAGAGCCGATTTGGTTCAACTATTTAACCCGGAGATCTATTGCTGTTACGCATTCAAAGCATTGGCCAGAAATTTCGGAAAGTTCCCGAGCACCAAGATTTTGCCGATTATAATAACCTGCAATAAGTCAAATAGAATCAGCCATGGCATTAATCAATTAAAACTAACATGATTTCAGGAGCAAACAGAAGAGGAAGTAACCCTGCGTTAAACACATTCTTGAGTACTGAATATATATTTTCTCCAAGACAACCGAGATACAACGTCAACGCCGTGGTCCTCTCCCCAGCATGGGTTGCGGTGCAGAAATACTCCAGACCTGGAGCTCAATACAGGATCTTAGGCCTCAGGAGGGCGGCGACTGTAGTCTGTCAACATGACTTTGACAAGCAGCTCAACTGTTCTGACAGTCCTTGTCTGTTCAACGTCATTGATGACCCTTGTGAACAATACAACGTGGCAGGTGCTTACCCTCAACTTGTCAACTACATCGAGCAAGCCAGGCTCAATGAGTACAGAGTTGGCGCTGTTGAAATCACTGTAGAGGAGGACCCAGCTTCCGATCCTGAGAGGTTCAATGGGGATTGGAGCATATGGGTTACTTGAGATACTAGGAATGACTACTTCAGAAGTATAGCGAAAACATTAGTACAAGATGAGAGTATGAATGAATAACCAAATTAAGAAAAACATTTATTGTTTAACATTGCTACAAAGGTATTCAAAATGTACCACTATTTTACTAGTTAAATAAAATTATTTACAACTTCTTTTTAATATTTGTAAAATGTATATATTTATAAATATACGGGTATGTAAAACATAACAATATTGAAGTTCTTTAATCCCGTCCTAATAGGAATAAGACATATGATGGAGTTGGTTTTTGTCCAAAGAACTTTAAATGTGTTCATAAATCGTTTGTATGAGAAAAAAACGTTCAATCTTAAAATTTGTTTCGGTAAAAATGTGTATGCGTAGAGCTATTATGTCTAAAAAAACGTGTAGAGCTATTAGGTTTCAACAAAACTATAAATTTGTATCAAGAGATTTATTCCAATGATATACTTAATTCAATATGTATTTTAATTACAATTTTGAAAGTCCTATAGTTTAGTTCTTGGCAAGTTGAACTCTTTACTAATAGTTCAGTGAAAATTCAGTATATTTCAAAAGCAGTGCTGGTCCTTGCATGACTTACTTAAAGTGATGAATAGCGATAAATTTAGAAAGTATGAATTAAATATCTACACTTGTAACAAAGTTACTAATTTACTTTAGTTTATTAAAACTTGCAGTAGAGTATGAAAAATATTAGTTCAGTGGTATTAAACAACATTACTACTTTTTATCCCTTCAACAGTTACGCTTTACTACATGTTCAGTCAAGTAGGTGTTTTCTATGAAAATATAGACACGATTCTCGAGAAGCCTAGGCATAACATGTTGGCAGGAAGTTTCAACATGTGTTTGGTTCCCGTAGTACTTAATTACAAAGGCCAAAGTACTGTTTACCTTCACTTTAGGCTGTTGAGAATTAATTAGTACGAATTGTTATCAACCTTAACTTTCAGTTAGTCTTAATATATTTTCAGTTACAGACAAATATAGTTATGGTTTTGGACCTTAATTATTTTAACTGTAATATAACCTGCAGGTTTTAGTTTTTAGTTGTTTTTGAAAGGAGTATTCAAACAAGCCCATAATATATTCAAATGAGCTCTTAAAAAATGTAGACCTTGAGTTTTTCCTCTAATAGAAATACTTTTGGTAGCCTACTATCATACTTCCGTAACAAAATACCAAAGATAAACTAATACTCATTAACATAAAATAAAGTCATTTTATAGTGGCTTCAGTAAGAATTTTAGTAAGAAATGTATCTGGCAGGTCTGACTTTTTTGAAACATAAAACATTATTTTTCTTTTATATTTATCACCTACAATATTACAGATCACTAAATCCACTAGAAAATGTAAACATGTTTTCAATACCTTTAAAACCTTTCTTTATTGTTTATCACAACATTTAAACTATTGCAATATACATATCATATTCCACGTTTAAAACCCTACATATTATTATTTATTGACGGAAACTCCTCATTACAGATAATTATGCAATAAAACAAGGTTGATTTATAAATAAACTCCCTTTTCATGTTATGGATAAAGTAAATTCATAAAACATTTCACAGAACCATCTTTCAACACTGGAACGCAAGACACGATAGATGGTTAAAGCGTTGAATTAGAAACTTTCTAAAACAAACGAATATTTTGCAAGTATAATTGTGAGTCCCTGGAAGCGTTGTAAACTTGTTTCATTGTTGTTCTTTAAAAACTTGCGTGTTCATTAACAACTTTGTAGAACCAATAAAGCTCAAAACGGCCACCAATTTTTTTAAACATACTACGGAAATTCTCATAAAAAAATATATAAAATGCATGGGTTTATCTGATGGATTTAGAGTAATAGTCTAGACTTTATACCCACATATTGTCAACCGTAAATTATACCTTTCAACAAAAATTAATTGAGTTAATTTTTTAATTTTTATCAAGCTAGAAACCAAATATTGTCTATGTTGTTAGCGTTATGGCAAAAATGCTAATATGCTAATATGCTAATGATGATATTTGTATTGTCTGTGATCGTTTTACACTTTACTTCAGGCTAGACCTAGGGGTTGCAGTATTATTCCTAAGATAAAATCCGTTGGTGATTTGGTAGGATTTGAGCTCGGGATCTCAAGAACCAAAGATCCACGCTCTACTACTAGGAGATATTAATATTAGCCAAAACAGTAATGGATTATCGAACACAAAATTACAAGTTAAAAATGACTATATAATACCAATACGAACAGTTAGGAACAAGGAATAGTCTTATTAATAACCTATATTGAAGATATTATTGTCAAATTAATGTAATACTACATTTAAAATTTCAAAAAGGCCAAAATATATTTTTTTTTATTCCACAAGCACTTGTTATTTTAAATTAACAAGCAACCTAGAGTTAAATATTATTTAAATGTAACATGAGTAAGTATATAACCATCAAAATCAATTCAGTACCATTAAAAACTTTAAGAGGTACATTCAAAATATACTACGTAGCTTTATGGCAGGATTTCAACTTATATAGTTCTATTATATCAACAAGCAACTTTGCTGCAATGAAATGGGATTTGTGTACATTGTATTTAACTCTAAAGAGACAGACTCAACTGTCAAGAGATAACAATTGTAATATGAGTGTTTTGAAAAGAGAATGCGAAAGAGAGATAACCCATAAACATTCATGATCTCTAGGGAGTCAGTCATATTGTTGTTTTGTTGGGAATAAAGCAAAGTGTACAAACCAGGTGCTCGAGATTTAATCTGTAACGTGCGATTCATTTTAGATTACCGAGCTACACGTATTTTTAAATAAATGCAATTCTATAACACTACGTGTAAAATGCCACGTACTTATCCAGGGTGTCCCGGAACTCTCTACCAATATTTTAGGGCATTGATCCTGGGTAAGAAACGTACCTAAATATCATATTTAAATTGTCCGGAAGTCCTTAGTTACTCACACAGCCTCCATTTTGTTTTTTCCAGTTATTAATTTTTTTCTAAAGAATGGTTTAACATAGCCTACGAAATGGAAACTTTGCACAAACATTTATGACAACTAGACAACGCTACAAAAAAATTATGAAGATTATTCAAATTCATAAAACAAAATGGCGGCCATATACAATTTTATTTCTTAAATAACTCAAAAACCATTGATTTTACAAAAATTTTAAATGGCCGCCATTTTGTTTTATGAATTTGAAAAATCGTGATAAGTTTTTGGTAGCTTTGTCTAGTTGTCATACATGTTTGTGCAAAGTTTCCTTTTCGTATGTTTAACCATTCTCTAGAAAAAAATTAATAACCGAAAAAACAAAATGGCGGCTGTGTGAGAAACTAAGGACTTCCGGACAGTTTAAATATGATGTTTAGTTATGTTTCTTACCCAAGAGCAATGCCCTAAAATATTGGTAGAGAGTTCCGGGACACCCTGTAGAATACACCGAGAATACAAGACTGTATTGGATTATATATATTTAATACCTTACTCCGAGATATGTTATACGAGAATTTTGGCAGGACATCAGTCTTTGTGTATCTGATCAAATGAAGTACAAATCAAAAGGCACAAAAGTTTTGAATTCAGGGAGTGACACAACGAATTCATAAATACTTCAACTCGTATGTCAACCAACCTTATCTGGCTGTCTTCAGTGAGTTATGTTTTTAACGATATCAGTAGAACCTTAAGACAATCTCGTATTTGCAAATTTAAGAAGAAATATGTTACCATAATAATATGGATATTAAATATCAAAAGGTTTGAAAGAGGTGTTTTTACGTTTTGGTAGATATAAAGTAAAAAAATTCAAACTATTTAAAGGTAGTATTGAACAGGTTAAGTGAATTAAATGTATGTGTTGTCCATCCAGGGAAAGAAATTTAAATAAACGAGAACGTTTATTTGTGTTTAATGCATCTAATTAGTGTAGAACATACATTTGTGTAGAAATTAGTAAGTAATAGAATATTTAAAACAAATAAATTGTTCAAGTAGTTTTAATAACATTTGTTAAACGAAAAATCTGTCCAAACGATTTAAAACTATTATCATTGATCCCAAATGTATACTAAAATAAAATAAAAACATAAAACGGGTTTCTATTGCAGTTTTAAAGGTTAAAGATGTTTCAGATATATAATCATCGTACATAAATTATATGATTGGTAATGGAAAACAAACATTTCAAAACAATAATCCGTACTTATCTCTTGTTATTGGTATGTTGAAGGTAGGAAATTTATAAATTTAAGTGTTTCAGTCAAGGGTTGGAACAAAAATATTTTCCGAAGTTCATGTCTCAGATAGTTTTATCTTTCCGTTCAGTAATTTGTGTATTCTGATGTATGAATGTCAAAACTACTAAGGTTTAAGTGATGTTCGGTTTCAATGTTGATTTTTAATTTGTTTTCAACAACTGATTACGGTACTCCGCGATTATAGCAAGAAACTTATAAACTAATATTATTGTATGTACTTCAAATGTTGTAAGTGTGAATACAATCACATTTTCTTTTAGCTTTTTACACATCCTTGGTCAAAAAAAGTTGAGCTATAATAATTAGATTCATTGTTTAACCCTTTGAAATTACTCAATATTTAACACATCAGATATTGTTACAGTCATTGTTTTTTACATCAAATAGCTTCGGATAATACGGTTATTTATCATATTAATTACCTCAAACACTCC